GTCTAGAACCAGGTGAAAACATCTTGATAAGTGTCAAGTAGTTGAGTTGCTTTTACTTTAAAATCTCCATCAAGGTCTTGGGCAATGTGAAGTTTTTTTGGTTCTTTAGGTGTTCCAAGGTTAATTTTTTGAGTTGGTTCTTCAAGGTTGAGTATTGGTGTAAGTCATGATCCTTCTTATCGTAGACCTGGTTGTTCTTGGAGTGGAATTTGTTGATGCGTCAATTTAAACTATTCAAGTTTGATGCTTGAATGTTCTCATTGTTTTCTCATGTGTGCTAGTGTTATCTTTTCTTTCAAATTTTGGTGTTGGAAATCTTCATTTTGAAGTTGAGGATCTTGATTGCTTGTTTTCTTCAGGATGATTTGCTTTAGATTGACTTAGATTAGCATTTTTAATTTGGGGTATGCCTTGAGAATTTGAGCTTCTTCATAGCTGTCGAGTCCTTCATTCTAGTCATATTGTTTGATTGTGGTTAGTTAAAATGTCTTTGCAATCTTCTTTACAATACTAGTAGATAGTTGTGGAGCATTTTTATGTCCTCCAAGGGTGATGGTATTGTTCCTCCAATATGTGATAATGTCTATGGACTTGAGCTAAGTTCATTTGAGGTGTACTTTGTAGCACCTTTGGTCTTTCACCATCTTGAGTACGATGAAAGTTAGCTTAAATTCTTGATCTTTAATCTTGATAGGAATGTTGTGCACAATTCTTGATAGTTGTACACTCTGATTGTCGGCCATCTTGACATTGAAGGGTGTAGAGTGGATTGGTCCAAGTCCCATTGCTTTGCAGGTTGAATACTCGATAATGTTGACATTTGCTCTACCGTTGATGATTACATATATAACTTTGTTGTTTCCTATTGTGATTGGGATGCATGGTACATTTTCAATATAGTCACTAGGTTGAATGTTTGCCTTATAGGATGAGTTGTTGGTTTTTGTCTTAACTTGAGCTGAAATTTTTTGGTGGAGAAGCTTGACATATCTTGAGAAGTTGTTTTCTCAAGTATGAAGCTACCTGTGAAAGTTCTAAAAGAGTGAGTGTGATACCTTGTTGAAGAATGTTGGTGATGGGCTTTGGTTGTTCTTCTTTTCTTGACAGAGTTTTAGTCATAATTTCCTAATTATCTTTAACTTCATATTGTTGTTGTTGAAGGGTTTGCTAAATTGTGTTGATTAGCTCCTTGCTTTGTTGCCATTCGTGCCTTGAGATTTCTTGCACTTCATCTTGGAGTTCTTGTTCTTTGACTTTTCCTCAAGGTCATCTTCAAGAGTGTAGTGTTTTTTCTGACTTTGAGTTAGAGCTCTTACCTTATGTTCATCTTCAAAGTTCTCATCTTCGATTTAGTTGATGTTGACATTTTTTGTTGTTGGAGGAGGTCTTCGATGTTGCTGATCTTGCTAAGGAGGTCGATTACCTTGATTTTGTTGTTGTTGGTATTGAGGTCAGATTTCTTGAGTTTGAGGTTGCTATTGATAATTGTTGCAAGGAAAAATATTGTTGATTTTGCTATTGAGTTTAGTTATTGCAAAGGTGGTTTCCATTGTTGATTGTTGTGGTACTGTTATTGATAGTTGTTTTGCAAGAGTGGTGGTCTTCATTGTTGGTTGTCTCAATAAAGTTGCTGATAAGTCTGTTGGTATGGACGCTAATACTAATTGTCTTGGTTGCCATTGTTGTATTGTCAATGGTATCTAGGGTTAGGATTATATGTACCTTGATTTTGGTAGTTCAGTTACCATTGCTATGGTTTTCGTCTAAGGCTATGGTTCTTGTCTAGGTTGATTGTAATGTCTTGTAGTTAGTGTAAGAGTTCAAGGTATGTTTTCAACACATGTGATTTCTCAAGGAAATGTTGTGTAGTTGAAGAATCATATGGTGTAAATTAACACAATCTTATGTATTGGTATTTATGTTGCTACACTATACTCAGCTTAGTAAAGTTGATCAGTCTTCAACAAGGTCATTGCTCACCAACTTTGGGATCAAAAAGGATTGCATACTATGGCTACTATTTTTACGAGTCCTTGTTATGTTAAATTATTATAAAGTAATTGTGGCCTACTTTTAATTGTGTTGTATAAAGTTGTGCACATCCTCACTATAAGTGTCTACATTCTTTAGTTGATGGTGATGTTCAAAAAGTCTGAGCTGAGTAGTGGTTGTATTCTAAATGTTGTTGTCCTCAAAGTTATTGTTGATACATGTTTCTAGATTTTTTATTCTTGTATTTTTTATTTTCGATTGCTATCCATACTTTGATTAACTATTATTTTTATTCCCCATCGTCCCCAAGGGACCTCCACTTAGTATTTGATTTCTAATTGCTTGGTTGCTTCTTAATAGCTTATCTGATAAATGTATATTTTCGTTTTCAATAATGTGAAGAAGAAATGCAAGTGTTTATTAGTATGGTAGATGGTATACTATTACCAAAAAGAGTGTTGGATAGTTTCTATTAAACTAGACTACCTATTTCCAACTTACTTGAAACATAAACAAAAGAAGAAATTGAGATTTCAATATAATCCCACCCTAAAGTTCTATTGTGTAGAGCATCTTGAGGATCTACAACAATAACTAGTCCCTTAGCCACAACTGCATGTATAGCATCCACTATCTTCACAAGAGCTTTACACTATATACTATAAGCATTTATATCTATAAAAGAACAACCAGAATTAAGGATATTCTTGCCTTCGGAAATATTTAGAGATTCTATTCTTCCCTTTGCAATTGATTCTCCATTATCCCAAACAATCTTTATTACATCTCCTTTAACAACTTGAGAAAAACAAAGAAAATTACAAATATCAAAACACAAATAGAAGGAAAAAAGTACAAAAAAAAGACCACACACAAAGTCAAAGAATTTCTAGCATGCACTTGCACGCTAAAGACTCAATTTAATGTATTGATGAAAGAATATAAGCTCACAATAAACTAAAGTCAAATTAAGAGAGAAACAGATTGGTAAGTGCAAGTTTGTAAAATGACCAAAGAAATGGGGATTACTTAACTTTGAACAAGCATGGTCTCACACTCATTCTTCAAAAATGTAAAGATTTCTAACACTCTCTCTCTCATGGTCTCTTGTTTTTTTTAAGCTAGTGTGTGGGCTCATGCCTAGCCAAACTCAAATTTGAGTTTCCCCAAAGAAGCTTGAGATTTCTTGGCGTGCATTTGTACACCTATAGACCAGTTTTGGATGACTCTCTATTGTAAATCTTTGTTCTTTTGTTTTGAGATTTCTAGGCATGTGCTCTCATCCCTATAAACAAGTATGGGATGACTCTCTTGTAAATACACTACACTATCATATAGTCTCACGCCAAGCAATACTAAAATACGAATGTATATTCTTTATAATAATGGAAACCATATGTTTTGAGGAAAGAAAAACTTACCATGGCTATAAACAAACCAAAACAGTGTGGGAGAGATATGTGCTTAGGATGTGCTAGAGAGGAAGGAAAAATGCCTTCTAATATGTGATCCATGAACCAGTAGTGGCAAACCCTAGAGAACCCAAATAATAAAACCTAAGAAAAAACCATAAGGCTAAGAGGGGGAAAATTTGAAATGCAAGCTTGACAAAGAATTTGAAATGCAAGGGTAGTGTTATAATACTAATAGATTGTATCAGTTTTGTTTGAATTTAGGCAGGATTATTAAATAATGTAGTACAGATATTTAATGTTGTTATATAGTTCAAGGAGAGACTCCATAAAAAGTTTTTTCAAAAAATGAGATAATTAGAATTTTTAGTATTTATCGAAATACTTGCCTTTGCACCACGCCAAACAGTGGAGGAGAGTCCGATGATGTCTTGGATGGTGTTACGCTACCTTTGTTGAATGTATCGACATATCTGCAAAAACCTCGTGAGATTGGAGTGCTGCAAATGACCAAAACGGTACCTTGATCTAACGTTTTGCCATGCGTGAGCTGCGTACTGGTTACTGCTCGGAGGCATTGGTGGGATTCCACTCACAACCAGTTGCGGCCTTTCCGGAGTTGGCTGTGGTCTCTCCGGAGACATGGAAATAGGAGCGCCATTCTCCTCCACGCGCGAGACGAGCTTGTTTGCCGTGGGAGGAGGAGCCAACGGAAGCTCTGGCGCTTGTGCCTCGGCTCCTTCTTCAACCCAGCGCTTCAGTGTCTCGTCGTATCTAAACTTGTTGCTGTCGCCAAGCTTTGCCTGCAGCACGTACCAACCATCAATCAGCTAGCGCTCTTTCCAAAGCTTCCTTTGAAGGTGTTTTTATGAAGCCCATCACTCTTTGCACGAAAGAAGTAAAGACGCCTCTGTTTGGCGTTCCTTTCGCTGGACTAACGATCTGATGAAAGAATACAAGTCTTAATCGAAGGTACACAAGAGCAAGTCGACTTACCTGTGCAGGCCTAAAGTCAGGCTCAGAAATGCTTCTCGCTGGCATGTTGGATCTTCTCGTATTATCACTTATGGGTTCTATTGATGCCGACGAGGCAAGTGATACACTGCTTCTGCTAGAAGTTGTTGCGGGACAGTTATTAATATCAGCATATCAGAAGCTTTCGGGGAAGAAGGGCCTGTCATCTTGTGTAGACCAATATTGCCAAAAATCCGTTGCACAATTGATGTCAAGCCTCCCTGGATAACAGGAAAGTGAGTATAAAAGCCAAGTGTCCGATTACAAACCTGAGAGTGAATACGAAGACGCTCTTCCAAGGCTACAGCCGCTTCTTTGCACACATCAGCTGCATGGCCCACTGTTTTCAATGTTTTCAACACCGCTTGGCAATACCTTTGAAGAGAAACCTTAAGGATACAGTTAAAAATCACTACCAACCTTAAAGCTTCATTTATCTTTCCAGCTTCAGCAAGCATCGACGCATAAATAAGCTTGTATGGCTGAAAAGGAAGTAAAATAAACTGGGAATTGCCAGTCACTCTTGCAAATTCGTACACTTCCATTTGCTGATGAAGAAAAGGTTAACAATTGTTATTGAGGACAAACACAGCTTACCTGGATAGCTTCTGGACTAGCGTACGTGTGTGGATACTTACAATAGTCGGCACCTATAAGACAAAGTCTGGCAGAAGGGGAGAAATGCTCAAAACTAGCATTTGCAACAAGATAGCAAATATGGGCTCCACATATCTGCAAGTTAAAACTATGAGAAACATCAAAGTGTGACCAGCCATTCTTCGAGCATTCCTTCTACTGCGTCCTGCAAGTCAACATGCACTCCTTAAGCAAGAGAGTAGCTTGATAAAAGTATTTCACCTGTGTTGCACCATCTACAGCAGACGCTGGAACCGGTTGAGGTTGAAGCGCTGTTACGTTCGACAAATTAGTGTTCCCTACGAACACTCCGGCATGTTGACCAGCATAAAGAAGAGTTAGAGTCCAGAGGGGAAACCCTGGTTGAAACTGACGTTGAGCCATCTCCGCTATAGTGTCGGTGCAGAACTATAAGAAACCACAAGACCATCACTAACGGTCTATACATCAAAACTACAAGACAAGGTACCTTCTCTCCCAGCTGCCGGGCCATAAGAAGAGCACATCCCCAAAGTTGCCCGTCTTGAGCAGCCCGTAAAGCCTCTTTCTGCTTTCCGGCAATCAGTAGCCTTTTCACCTCAAATGCAGTTGCCTGTCGCCAGAAAGTCTTCATTTGTATCAACTCAAGAGAAAAAGACTGCCGAACCTGCATTTGCTTTTCGGTTGGAGTTGTCTGTAGACAGCGAGAGCCAAAAGCCCATGACTCTACATCGCGCTCCTCCTTTATGTTCTCAAACAAAGCCTCGGCTTCTTCCAAATGCCCTTTCCTGGCCAATGATGTGACGAGGGCAGTCTGCGCAACGCTCGTCTTCACGGGCATCCGATCAAACAAATCCTTGGCAGAAGCTATCTTTCCACTGCGGATGCAAAGTGTGATCATCATATTCCAAGAGATCTCGTTCTTCTCTGGAGCCAATTCGAAAATCTCTCGCGCTTTATCAAGATGCCCGCTTTCGGCATATGCCGTGACGATCGAGTTCGTGACGGCCGCCAGGGAGCGTGGATTGGACTTGGGCTTTTACCTCTCGCCATGGGGTTTGCACGAGAGCTGCTATGGCGACACTCTTCTCTACAACGAGTTCTACTTGGCTCAGCTCCAAGAGCTTCTTAGTGGGTGAGAGACATTCTTTGCTTCTTCTTCACGCATTTTTCTTGGTGGCATAATCAATGTGTGATATGTTTGCATTTGCTCCAGCCCATCAAACGGTTTTAGCATTAGGAGCTCGCGAGCTTGTGGGCTTTTGTAGTTTTCATCTCTAGCAGCAGATGCCTTCACGCGGCATTTGTTTTTGGCGTGCAGATATGGGCCGATCTCCGAGGTGTGGCTGGATGGTGCGAAATCACCCACTGCAGTGAACATGAACTACGATTTTGAGCTCTGGTTTGACACGATTCATCCCCGGTGCCAACATCTTTTCCGACACTGGCCCCGACATCTGATGGTTTGGGAACAAGTATGGCGAGGCCGGACAACCATGCTGGGCGATGGCGAACAGATCTTCCATTACGATTGGCAGGAGCGATGGCCAGTATGTAAAATCCATCCTTCCATGAAACTTTCGTTCTCGTGAAACTCGATCCAATTCGCAACATCAACAGGTTCTTGATGTCTTGAGAGAGTGCTGGAACCGACTGGCTCCCTCCAGAGTGCGTTTTCTAAAAATCATCCGCCAGGAACTGCTTGCTCCTGCTCAACGTCCCTCCAAACTCGTCGGAACTCATCGACGAATCCGACTTCCTGACGCTGGAGCGGTTTAGCTCCGCCATAGATTCCATCTTCAGCGTCAACTTAGCAGCGAATCCCTTGTCCGTGACAGCAAGCAGCGTTCGCAGCTCTTCGTTCGGGCCGAAGCAAATCCTTGACGAGCGTATGGAAACTTTCTGAGCTCCAATGCAAGGGGAGTCGACCGGCTGGATCGAGCTTGATCTTGGCAAGGTCTCAAAGTTCAACGCACTGGAGATCTGAGAGCCAGTAAACATGGGACAAAGGGTCATGGAATATCACGTCGAGGCATGGGACAGCGAGCTGGGCTGGTACCTGGTGAGCAACGGTAGCACCATTGGTTACAGGACAGTGGATCGACTGGAAGCGGATCAAGAATGCGCTGCTCGGCTTGTTCGACTGCTGATTGACGCGTCGCGGGGAGATCCATTGATCACAACCTCACGCACTTGTCTTCTATTTAGGTGTAAATGACTATAACTTAACTGAAGCCATAAAAGATAGGTATTGTGGAAAAATAAAGAATATATTTGTGCAAATACTAAACAGGTCATACACCTTGTGGGTGTTCCTTTGCAAATAGCCTGTGGAAAAAAAACTATTAAAATAAATATTTTATTTGTAAAGAATACTTGATGCATTAAAAATATGAGTTTATATAACACTTTTTCTCCATCTAGCATGTCATAGAGGACAAAGTAGCAATCTATTTAAATTATAACTCAATGTAGATTAAAATCACTAAAGGATGATCCTAACGATTCAAAACAACTATTATACTTGTCTCAAAAGGCTAGCAATATTCTAATCTGAATACCAATCCTGGATTTGGAATGATGCTAGACTGGAAGATTAAAGGGAACTGAAGTATATCTCTAGTTGAGTCTAGTATTCCTAAGAGTTTAAGAATGATTAGGATTGAATATGTTAGTTTTGAAAAATTTCATATACTTATATTCCATGGTATTGGAAGAGAAGGGAATAGATTGGTCACGAAACATTGAACAAGTGCTAGTTGCCATTGAAGAAGCAATATTGCTCTATACAACAACATTATATATAAAACTCCACCCTGCAGAATAGAAAGAAAGTTTTCGAAGGGAATGGATGAGTACGAAATGGCACTTGTGATATTTCTTATTTCCAATGGGGAGAATTGTTTGGGATGTTGAGCATCCCTGATTGCTATGCTAGATAATATGTTTGATAACATATGTCAAACTTCTCATCATCAAATTACTTAACTATCCTTCATTACGCATATATTAATTCCTAAAGCTCTCCAAGGACTTGGTTCTTGACAGATTATGGCATTGACTTTGCGGAAGATTTGATAAATTTCCTTGTAAAATCGCCTTGCATACATGCTTTGCAAAGAACAATCCAGTCAACATAGATTAAGCCCGTCATAAAAGTGGGCCAATTGTCTTTAAACTTAATTCTCTGTATCAACGTCCAATGAAGCCTTCGTAAATGCTAGCCATCAACGAATGGGCTGAGGCCCCAGCTCCAGCAACATGCTGTGCAATGCTTCGCAAGTGGAGAGGATAACATATGGAACACAGAGAGGAGAACATATGAAGCATGTCGGGAGGCAACGAGGGAGATAGGATACAAAAGGAAGGCAATGGGAACGAGCTATCACCCTACTGCAATGAGCCCATCTCCACCCATGCCTCAAACGCAAGCTTTCCACACCACTACTTCCCATTTTCAATGAGCCCACGATGGCTACACGCCGTCAAAATGAGGGCAAACGCTGCCTTGTCGGGATCAAAGCCGTGAAGAAACATTGCCCAAAAGAGCTGGATCGCAGAATACACATGGCCAGTCTGGGCATATGCTGCTAGCATCGTGTTCCAGGAGACCAAATTCCAAGTTGGTATTCTATCAAATGTCTTCTTTGCCTCATAAATATTTGCATCTAAAGTGTATACCACGAGAATTGTGTTCCATGAATAGGAATCCCAGCAGCAACACAAAGAAAATGCTTGTATAGCGTCTTTGAAACGACCTCTCTAGGCATAAACAGCGATTATCAAGTTCCATGAAACAAGATCTTTGTGTGGCATTGCTTCAAACAATTGTTTTCCTTGATCAGTGTCACCTTTTTGCGCATATGACTTGATCATAATCGTCCATGAAAGTCTGCTGTGCAGAGGCATCCTATCAAACAAACTCTTGGCTTGAATCAAATCCCCATTTTGGGCATAGCAGCAGTGCATTGCCCCCTAGAGGATCGTGTTTGTTCAAGGCACAATAGTTAATACATATCCTCATTGAATTGTCCTTCTTCTTTACAAGCAAGACTAGAGCACTAAACGGAGACTTACTTGGTTGAATAAATCCAAACTCAAATAACTCCTTGATTTTTTGTTGAACTTCTTGCTCTTCATTATAACTCAATTGAAATGGACACTAGTAAATTGGCCGCGTTCCCGGCTCCAATGTAATCCCATGCTCCACACCTCGTAATGGAGGCAATCCATAAGGAAGTTTAGAAGGGAAAACATCAAAGAATTCTTTGAGTATAGTTTACACTACTACCTCTCCTCCACACATGGCTTGGTCCCCCAGGTCAGTAACAAACAACAAATAACTTGAAAATGTTCATTACGACAAGCTCGCTTCAAAGATGTAGTGGAGAGCATAACAACTAAAGGTTGAACTCCCTCTCCAAACCATAATGCCATTTTACTCCAACAAGACATGCTTAATACTCCACTTTATCTCCGGATCCACCTTCACCAACCATGGCATCCTAAAAATGAGATCCACACGATGAAGATCCATGAGATAGAAAGTCTTCACAAGTGTGGTTTTAGCAACTTACACTTCCAATCCTTCTACACAAGTATGCCAAGTAAAGGTAGTTGCACCTTCCACTGTGTATGGAACAATTCCTTTGTGTATGGAACAATTCCTTATATCACCAAACTATGCTCCTTAACAAACTTTGTGGAAACAAAGTTGTTATTGCTCCCATTGTCTAGTAAAATCTACACTAGACTGCCACAGAACATGCCCTTCAGCATTAAAGCTGATGCATGAGTGTCCTTGACCTTGTTCCACACATAGTTAAGTTGACGAGCAATAATTAAAAGCCTCTTCCTCCAACTAGAATGGTCGTCCCTATCATCCTTGTGCTGCAAAGTTTGCAACTTCTTAGTATTTGACTTACAGTTAGTAAAAGATTGGCCATTCTTGTTGCCATGTTATTTGCTCTTCACTGTGAACAATCAGCTTTGTAGTGTCCCAACTTGCTACAATGATAACAACCTTGTCTAAAATTTTTCACAAAGAATTTTTGATTCTTTGACCTTGTATACCCGAAGTAACCACCATAGACTTCAGCTTGTGATGTTTATTCCCATCCTTGTGTCCACAATGATCATCACGACGATTCTCAACAAAAGGACTCCTCGAATGCTTGTAAGACTTATACTTGTCATTATCAAGTCGACAAGTAGCATCAAAGAGCTCCTCCAAACACTTTGTAAGCTGAGAATGACGCAAATGTTGCCACATGCTCTCACTATGAAAGCCATTAATGAAGTAGGATTTATTCTGATCTGGATCTTTCATTAGAACACGGCTAATCAAGCGAGTCAGCTTCTCAATATAGTCCCCAAGCTTCATTTTCCCTTGCTGAAAATGTCAAAGTTTGGTGTGAGCATTCTCCACATCATAGTGAAGTGCAAAACATAAATGGAAAGCAGCCTCAAACTCATCCATCATAGACACTAATGGTTTTTAATTTGTAGCACAAGACTCCTCAAGCCAATTCCACCACTGAAGACCTACATCACACAAAACCATTAGAATAGCCATTAAAGCCTCTACATCTAAAGTTCCTCTAGCAGCCAACAACTTCTTTATATTGGCTAGCCAAGCTAGACACTCATCCATACCACCATCACCAAAAAAAGTTAAAATCTTGAGTTGATCCACCAAAGAAGGCTTACTTGGAATGCCACCATGACCAGCCTCAAGTGCCTCAACATGCTCATGCAAGGTACTCATCATGCCATGCATTTTGTCTTGCATCTCTTGTTGATTTTTATTAAGGGCTTGCAGCTCGTGAACAACATCTTCCATGGTCCAAACCTCCATAGCTTCGTCGGCATGATCATCGGCACCACCATCAACAATAGGATTCCAGCGTTCAACTTCGTCGGCCATCATAACCAACACCTCTGATACCAATGTTATGACCTGGCACAAAAAATCAACAATCTAGTCTTCCTAGACTAGACTACACCTCCTCATGAACCCCACCAACCCCGAGCTACCTCAAAAGCTCCTCTACACCATCACTTTTAAGTTCTTTACCCTAATATGCCTTCATACTTGAGCCTCCCTTTGACC